GAGAATTGGAATGATCAAATGAGGCGCTACATTTTTTTAAAAAAAAAAAAATTCCAAAGTGATACCACATAGCAGGCCGTACCAGAAGTCCAAAAGTTGAATAAAAAAATAAATTTGGGTTATTCATTTAATTATACATATGAGTTTATATTAAAAATAGGGGGTGCCATATAGTAATATATATGTATATAAAAAAAAATTAAAATTGTTGGGGGGGCCGTGGCACCCGTAGGTCCCCCCTTGGCTCCGTCCTTGAATACAGTCAATATTTAGGTTGATTCTTATATAAAGATAACTTTTAATTTCATTCTTATGAAAAAAATTCGGATGGATGAAGTATATAGTTTTAAAATAAACATATTAACTTTTTATTATATTTTAGTTTATTGTTAAATTTTTTTTATAAATAAATAATTTGAACTTTAATTTTTTCGGAACAAACTTATAAAATTTATTTTTTAAATAAATATTTTTTCTCTTAATCATTAAATTTTACCTCTTTTACTCATAACTCCTTTTTATTAAATTGCATTAAGCTATTATTGAAGATAAAATCTCATCTATTTATTTACTTTTTTTTAAGAGATCTATTTATTTACTTTAAATCTCAATTATTTGTGTTTTAAATTGTAATGTATTTTTTTTTAAACATTAAAGCTTGTACCAGATGAATTATCCCAATAAATGCACAAATGGACTATCATAATGCTAAGAGAGTTACTTAGATAGTTATCGAGAGTTTCCAAAAAAAATTCTCGAGATTTCAATATATAAAACACATGTGTATATAACTCAATTCTAGGGTTAAGACACGTTATCTGACATTTTTAAAATGTTATGAATTATGATCTTAGACTGCTGCTATGTTATTCTAGAAGGAGTTCTCTATACTAAAACAACTTGTTTTTTTAAATCTAAAAAGTTAATTATTAATAAAAATTTCATGTGTTATTTGTACTTTTTTGTTGTTGTTATTTTTAGAACTGTGTTGAAGTTTTTTTTTTTTTTTTTAAGTATGAAATAAAAAATGTGTAATATGTTTTTAAGTAAAAAAAAGTACGAATATGGACACAAACAGGAATCTATCTCTTAAATATTATTCTTAATACCCTACTTAAATATTACCTATTACCATATCTTGAATTTCTTTTGGGGGTATCTTTTGGCAGTCTTTGCAAGTCCGCTGACTAAATGGAAAAGAAAACAAAGTATTAATCTTGTTTAGATTGGAAGAATAACAATTTAATCAACAGAACACAGTATATCCATTGATGAAAGGCATGATGTAAAGCATTACATGTGAGAAGATATAACTCATAACTCATTTGAAACAAAGTTTGTGTCTCAGTGCAGATATCGTCCATTAAAGATGCAAGGGCATTATTATAAATTTATAATCACATCAATCTTTCACTTTCAACCATCAATTCTGCTTGCCGCCACCAAGTACTTATCTTTTGTTCGTTCATTACATCAACCAAACCAAACAAAATGGCCTTAGGCCATCCAATTTATTTGTATTCAATGGGGATTTTTTTTCTCTGGTTAATGATTATAACCAATTGGCACCTTCCTACATATGAAAACAACATTTTTGATTAGTTTCTCAATTCAGCTCTTGATAGATTTGAATTTATTGCACCTTGTTGTGCCAAATGTTGAGTGGGGATTGACGTCTAGTGAGGTGTAATTTCGTGCCCAATATATTTATTCACATTGCTAAATTAAATAATCTTAATAGTTGGAACTTTCAAAGAGACTTCGATTCAATGCCTTGTGACTTGCACAAGAATGATACGAGACATGAGTACCACCCCACTAGTAAAAAAAAACCACATGTCATGTCGTCAATGGCATGCTATTTGACAACTATGGAGAGTGATTTGTAAGTAAAACCTTTGTTATCACTTGATAATATAATAGGACTAGTACTTTTAATATCCATTTCTCTCGGAACAAGCGACATATTTTACACTGCTCATTCATGCATTACCTTTTTCATTCTCATAATTTTGGGTAACTAAAAAAGGCTCGAACTTTTGTGGGTTTCTAAGAAGGGAACTAGTCCTAACTTCAGTGGTTAACATGATTAACATGGCACCAACTTTTTTCATTCAATTTTGGGATTAGTGAACAGAATTTGTCTCTACACATACACTCTCACCTAAAAACTGTCCATTTCTTCGTGTCCTTACATGATTGAAATTATCCCCTTTTTGTAATTTCAATATTCAAATGCGCTTCTCTTTCTTCTTTGTGTCTCAATCATTACGCATAAGCAATTACAAGAAAATGTTAATAATAAGAGATGGGGTAGCCCACCATGGCTTACATGAACCGGATTATGTTTCCATAGCCTCACGAATTCAACGTGAAACGGGCATTCTCGTTTTGTAATTTTATGCAATGTAATGTAACAGGCACTGTCCTTTCTTCTGTGCCTGTGGAGTCGCCGTTAAAGCGCGTAATTTAACTTGCGTGTGCTTTAACCTGAAGGTTGTTTAACTAAAGTGCCTTGAAGTGTGTGAAGCCTTCTACTTTTTTTACTTCAAAAAAAGAACCTTGGTTTCCGAGGGTGTTTGTTGTCACTGTTCATTGATGCGAAAGTTGCAATATTTTGGCTGATTCAGCGTTTCAGATGGCTTTTGGTGACTGATTCTCCTTGCAAGTTGAGAATTTGAGATGAGCAGCCAAAAGGATCGTCATGAAGAAGAGATGGGTACCTCAGAAACCACCGGTAAAGTGATTGTGGTCGCAGTGAAAGCTTCTAGAGATATTTCAAGGACTGCTTTGGTGTGGGCTTTGACTCATGTTGTTCAACCAGGGGATTGCATTAAGCTGTTGGTTCTCATTCCGGCTCTTTCCTCAAGTATTGCTTACTTTCATTCCAATTTATCTCTAATTGCTTATGCATGCTGTTAGTGTTACTTCACTCAATTTTTATTTTGGTGAATTACTTTACTCAATTTGTGTCACACTTAATGACTTTTGGATGCATAAAAGATTGAATAGCACATTTTACACTATTGAGTTTTGAACCTTCAAATATGTGAGGCTTAGTGACCTAAAAGTTGCTTGAGATCTGAAAAATCCAAGAATCTGTTCAAGTCATTCTGGTAGGAAGGTTCATGATTGACTATAATTTCTGCATTTTTTTGCAGGCAAGAGGGTATGGGGACTTTCAAGATTTACTACTGATTGTGCCTCTAGTAATTGGAGATCTAGTTTAGGAACTGCTTCAGATCAGAAAGAAGTTATTACAAATTCCTGTTCTCAGTTAGTGCTTCAACTCCATGATTTTTATGATCCAGAGAAGGTTCGAACATAACATTGTAACAACTTCCGGATATATGTTCCTTTTCTAATTTTTTTGGCTATGTGTCTAGTGTTCAGCTTTTCTAAACTCTCAAATATTTACACAGATAAAAATCAGAGTGAAGATTCTTTCTGGTTCTTTATGCGGAGCTGTGGCGGCTGAAGCTAAGAGAGTCCAGTCAAGCTGGGTTATATTGGACAAGTAATAGATATAGTAATGAATAATTTTTTATTTTAACTTTCCACGTTAAAGGTTGTGTTCTTGTTTAATGCATCTGTTTGGTGTGTTTGTTAATAACATGCAATGCCATTAGTATAAGATATTTCCTGGCCTCCTGCTGTGAAATTGCCTCAATTACTTGTGGACTGAAAAACAATTGTCTATGCTTACACAATTGCAGAAAATTGAAACATGAAAAGAAATACTGCATGGAGCAGCTGCATTGCAATATTGTAATTATGAAGCGGTCTCGGCCAAAGATTCTGCGCTTGAATTTGAACAGTTCACCTAAGATGGAACTAAACATGGCTTGTCCATTGACATTTACAAGAAACTTCAAAGAAAAATCAGAACAACGTCAAGATATAATTAGAGGTCCAGCTGTTACTCCTGCTAGTAGTCCTGAACAAGGGTCACCACCATTGACTGCAACTGATATTGGAACATCATCCATATCAAGCTCAGATCCTGCAACTTCCCCATTTTTCCACTCGGACATTTATGAAAGACAAAGGAGAGGTTTTGCTTTTGTTCATGAGGGATTGACTAATCTGGAGGAAATTGAGTCTGACTCAGAGAGCGAAAAGCTAAGTATGTCATCCAAGAGTTCATATTTTCAGCCATGGATTGCAAATGTAATTTGCATGGATGGTGATTTCTCAAAACACGAGGACAACATGCAGAGATCCAATGACAAGACTTTGGTTTCAGCCTATGAAGCTTTGCTTCAGAAATTCTCAAAGTTGGATCAAGATCCTATCGTAGGAGTGCTCAACTGTAAAATTGATGTGAACTTGAGCAAAAGTGTTAGAGAAGCAATTTCACTAGCTAAGAGTTCACCTCCTGGTCCTCCCCCATTGTGTTCAATTTGTCAGCACAAGGCACCTGTGTTTGGCAATCCTCCAAGGTGGTTCACATTTGCTGAATTGCAACTTGCCACAGGTGGTTTTTCACAAGTAAACTTTTTGGCTGAAGGTGGTTTTGGTTCTGTACACCGTGGTGTCCTACCTGATGGCCAAGTCATTGCTGTCAAGCAGTATAAATTAGCCAGTACTCAAGGAGATAAAGAGTTTTGCTCAGAAGTAGAGATCTTAAGCTGTGCACAACATCGAAATGTTGTTATGTTAATTGGGTTCTGTGTGGAGGATGGAAGAAGATTACTAGTTTATGAATATATTTGCAATGGCTCTCTGGATTCTCATCTCTACAGTAAATTGCTTTGAATCCTTAACTTTTCTTTTTTGCAACATTCATAACTGATATTGGATTAGAAAGTGAGATGATTTTTTAGGTTGTCAAATATCTTAGTATTCAAATAATCTGAAAAGTTAGTTACCATTATTCTCCCTAATAAAAATTTGTTTATCGAATAATCTTTATTCGACCTTGGTAGAGTGATTGTCATCATAATCTTCATAAAATGTTTTTTAATTGACTGTTTTTGTGTGAATGTCTAGCAATCAAATAACTAATGAAGTACTAATTAATGTCATGTCATCAATGCTCTTATTCCATATTAGTTCCTCTGGCAAAATCATTTAGAATTCATTCGAAGTAATGGGATGATTTCTGATTAGTTGACGGTATAATCTTTTAGCATGAAAATTTGGGGAGCAACAGAAAAAAAGTGTTTTTAAGGGATCATTTGGATTTGCAGGACGAAAGCAGAATGTGTTGGAATGGTCTGCACGGCAAAAAATTGCAGTAGGGGCAGCTCGTGGTTTGAGATACCTTCATGAAGAATGTAGAGTGGGTTGCATTGTGCACCGTGACATGCGGCCTAACAATATCCTCCTCACTCATGATTTTGAAGCTTTAGTACGTCTTATTATTAATCTTCAATATTGAAATGTACTAATGAATAATGTTCACATTATTGGTTTCGTATTCTTTTTTCAGTAACACCTCTGTATAAACCATATATTCATAACTATACTTTTAGGTATGTTTTCTTATATGAAATGTCTCAACTAACTGCCTCTAATTGATTTTAGGTGGGAGATTTTGGACTTGCTAGATGGCAGCCAGATGGAGACATGGGAGTGGAAACAAGGGTGATAGGAACATTTGGGTAGTGCAACATGAAACCCAATTTGTTTTTTCCATTTTGTTTTGACTAGTAGAAAATGATGTAAGGCATGCTTTTTTCATAGGTATTTGGCGCCAGAATATGCTCAAAGTGGTCAAATTACTGAAAAAGCTGACGTGTACTCGTTTGGGATAGTACTACTGGAACTTGTCACAGGACGGAAAGCTGTGGATATAAACCGGCCCAAGGGCCAGCAATGTCTAAGTGAATGGGTAACACTTTTTCACCCTTGACTTCAATTGTAACCAATTATCCTCTATCTGAAAATATTATACATTTCTAGTAGAATTTAATCTGAATTGAATTTAGTAATTTAGTTTTAAATTCTATATCTTGATCACCTTGTGGTTCAAATGTTTGCATAGGCACGCCCATTGCTTGAGAAACAAGCCATTTATAAATTAATAGATCCGAGCTTAAGGAACAGCTATGTTGATCAAGAGGTTTATCGCATGCTGCAATGTTCCTCTTTGTGCATTGGACGAGATCCTCATTTAAGGCCTCGAATGTCTCAGGTTGGAAAGTTAATGTCACATGTTTATTATTGCCTTTGTATGTCGTAGTAAATCACTAGCATGCGATCCATAACCAATGTTTAGTGCTCTCCTTAGCATTTTGCCACTCTAATTTTACTTATAATTTTCATTATTAACAAATGTGATCTATAGATTCTAGAACCAATGTTTAGTGCTTCATTATCTCTCATTGGTTTTTCATACTTTCTCATATAGGTGCTGAGGATACTGGAAGGTGACATTCTAATGTGATTGATTGCTTATAACATTTCCATTTCCCAAGAACATTAGTGTAGAACTAGAAGATAAAGAAGGCTAATTAATCATGCGGATAGCGATGGCAGCATTATGACAAGACTTGTGAGGACAAGTTTATGGAGAGTTGAGAAGTTTAAAGCTGGTTGCAGATTCTACTGAATTTTCTCTTTTGTAAACAGCTTCAAGTTTTTACTAAGAGTTTTATGTCAGTAATGTAAATATTATGTTCGATTTTGTGGAGGGGAAGGAGCATAATTTGGACTCGGGTTAATTATTTAGTTCATTGTACAGAAAAAGATTCCAGTTTTGGTTTACCCTTCGCAGTGTAACGATAATTTCCAAATTTGTAAAAAAAATCAACACGTGGTTGTGTTGTGGATGATAAAATTTACTTTATTTTATTTTAACACTTGCGTCTCAAGTTTATTTTTCTATTGGTGGTTGGGAGTTCTGGTTTAGTGGGTAATGTAATGGGCTCAATATTTTTCGTCTTAGATACTTGGGCTTCATGGATATCAGTAAGACACTTGTTACTTTCTGCACCATTCTTTTTGTTACCCTTATTTAAACAAGATGAGTATACATTGTATACTGTTGCTCATTCCAGAATTAAAGCTCCTGAAGGATTTTCAAACAGTGGTTTGAAATTTAATTTCAAAATGTAAATATTTGGAAAGTTATTTATTTGCAATTCTTTTTCAAAATTAGAGAGAAATAACTTTAAAAAAATAAATAAAAGATGATGAAACTAATAAAAAAAAAGGCGGTGTAAAAAATAGTTTTTTGAGGAATGTAGAGTTTATGCATGTTGGCCCTTTATCAAATCACAAGGCGTCCAAGTCCAACAATATGGCTCAAGTTGGGCTCTCGGAAGGACAAAACTCATGCATCGATGGTTGGCTGATGATATATATACCTCTTTTATTTAAATAAGTACACTTTTTTTAAAGTAAAATTTTAAAATATTTTTATTTTTATATTCTTTAATTTTTTAATTTTACACTATATTTTTATTTTTATTTTTCACACATCTCCTTTTTTTCCCCTTTCAATTTATATATACACCCCTTATCTTTTATCACTCTTCAACTATTTCAGTAGGTAATTTTAATTCTTTTGATTTTTTACATTATTTTCTTATCTTTTTTCTCTATCAATTTTTACACTATTACCATCTCCCCCCCCCATCTTTCAGTTTTCACATGCACTTGGGATGTAAAACTGGTATTCAACGAAGTTATAGGCTTGTGCAGCTTCCTCGACATTGTCGAAAGTGTCTAGCTAGACACGCATTTTTTCTTCGAGAACTTCCTTCCCACGTTAAATTTAGTCTTCCAAAAATCATTTCTCCGAAATATTAATTTTAGTGTTCTAGAAAATACCATCAATAATAGTGAAATTAGTGTTCTATAAAATATTTTCTAAAATTATATTTTTTTACATAAATTATGGAAGTGTGTTATTTTACATAATTCTAAAAGGTTCTTATCATAATAATAAATTTAATATTGAGGTATTTTAAAGTGTGAAAGAGGAGAAAGTGTTTGAAGAAAAAATGTGCATTTTGCTCAACACCTTCAACATTCTTAAGAAAGTTGCATGTGTCTACAATGTTGTCTCGTACTAGTTCTGCAACTCGAGTGTTCATGAAAATCAAAGGAGGGGAGGAAGGAAAAGAATAATATGAAAATCAAAAGTATTAAAACTACTTATTGAAATAGGTGGAAAGTAAAGAAAAAGTAAGAGAGTACATATAAAAGTTAAGAGTGAGAGAAAACGAGGTGTGTAAAAAAGAAAGAAAAAGTATTAAATAAAATGTTGGAATTGTAAAATTAAAAGTTAAAGAATAAAAAAATTAAAATTATTTTAAGATTTTGTATAAAAAAAAAGAGATGTACTTTTATATAAAAATAAGGAGGTGTATATAGGATGAGGCTCAATAGATTATCCAATACGGTTGGAAACCTCCCAAGTTCTATTTGAACTCGGCCATAAACCAAATCAATCATCTGGGCTGATATTTTATTCATCTAGGCCCAATAAAATCCAAATTTTCTAAAAATAAGCAATTAATTATTTCAGAGAGTAAAATAAGTAATATAAATCATTATTCGTCACAGGAAAAAATAATTGATATTGCATGTATAGACATAACAAATCATGCACATATCGAAATATGAACCATTAATTTTTTCATCAGGGTAAAACTACTTTATATTCTTCAGCTTACTTTATAAACATCAAATCCAATCAAATTAGTGTTAGGTGAGGTTTGTAAAAATTTTAATAAAATAAATTGTATTTAAAAATTAAATAATCAAAACTAAGAAGTTTTAATTACTTGATTCTAAGTTAAGAATAAAAAATTAGAAAATTAGCCCATTTGTTAATTAATTTTTAACATAAAATAGTATTAGTTTTAACATTCTAGCCCAACCTAAATCAGGTTAATTCAATTTGAAGTTTGGGCCGAATCAGAATAAAAGAATTTTATTTTAGATTCTATAACGATCAAATTTTGGTTTCTAATTTATTTATTTATTTTTCATCAAAGATATCTTCAACTGATAATAATGTCTTTGTTATATACATGGTCAAGAATTAAACTCATGATAAATAAACTTTGTTGGTATGTTATTTGATATATTGACACATGTTTGGTCGCGACAAAAGCATGGTGTGGAGTGGAGCTAGCTGGATTTGATGGCTTAGTAACACTTGCAGTAGAGTAAACCTCTATTTTAATTAGTCTTTTAAATTTGTAAGAAAATGCGCCAGTTTATTTCAAAAAAAATTGTTTCTAAAAAATTGCTTTTCTAAAAAGTAATTATTTAATAAATAAATATGATGTGTTTAAAAAAAAATAAAGAACTATTTTTTAATTAAATAGTTTAGACAAACATTTAAAAATATATAAAATTGTTTATTTTATTAAACAACAAATCCATTATCGAAATTAAAATAAAAGTAAAAAAAATCTCTGAAATTAAAATTTGTTTGTCACATTAGATCCAGACATTAACTTTGTTGTATATTTCATTCTCATGAACTAAGATAATAATAATAATTTAAAATTAATTAAAAGGTTTCTTTGTTATTTTTCTTATTTGAAAGACTATTCTAATTAAATTCAAGAACTAAAACGGGGTTTGGTAAAGAGGTGTGAGTTAATAGGAAAAAAAAATTATCTATCCTATCTTATTACAACTCTCCTTAACTCAATCTTCTCCTAAGAAATATTTTTTAATTGATGAACAATATGTAGGATAGTCTCATCTTATGTTGTCAGCACCAAAGCTTTGTGAAAATATGAATTGTGGCTATCAGTGGAATTAACACATGAGAACAAAAGTTACAAAACATTAAAAATAGATAATTCACTAGCTCTTCCTCACTCAAACAGCAAAGTTGGTGCCGGAAAATGATGTTTTGTGAAAATGTCCGTACAGTGTATCACTGGGTCGATTGATTACTACAAGTGGAATCTAATTCAAAATTTTATTTTTAATTATGTGATAATCACAACGTGTGAAAATGAAGCTCTAGAACCAGTTGATAACAGCTGGCATGGCCTTATATACCATTTCACTTCTGATCTTATGGCAATTACTACTACTTTTCTACCTTCTTTTACATATATATACAGAAAGCAGTACTAGCTAGAGGATAAGATTTTATGCGTTTGATTTGATAAAAGGAAACACATCTTTTCAATTTTTTTTTACTGAAAAATAACTCTGGACAATTTTGCACGTAAGTTTAAAGTGGTTACATCATTTAATTAATTTTTCATTTCCATCCATATATGACTCTCGTCTCCATTGATTGAACCCGGCACAAATAATTGGTTACATATTTAGAAGCGACGAATTAATAAATTAAGAAAACAACTGAATTTGATATTAAATCCTTGAAACATGTGGAATCTTTGGGAAACAATAAACAGATGGAAACGTCTGCATTGTATATTTCTGGGTTAATTTCACTAGTCAATTATATGCAGAGTTGTTTCCATCGTCCTTTTCAGACTAATCAATATCCAATTAACCCGTGTTGTATCGCATATAAATTGTCAATTTAGAATGAGCTGTAATTAGTAGAAAGTTAGATATGAGATAAGGAATGCGGGGACTTGTTAATTAATCATCTACAGTGTTCTTCAATATCTCTCACCAGTCTATTTTATCTCACGACTTTTAATTTGTCTTGTTTTAGTTGTTAATTTTTTTTTATTGTTTATCCTAGCTAAAATAGTAAAACTTACTGTTTATATAATATTCTTTTATGTTAAGTTTTCAATTATGTGTGAGTTGTGTTACACCATTTTTATTTTTATTTTTATAATTATTTTTGGTTAATTGTACGTACTCTCATACATGATACATCGATGTCCAAATTTAGTTTATGCAAGTCGTGTGTGTGTGAGAGAGAGATGAATCTCACCCTCCATTTTAAGTATTGATTCATTGGTATCTTAGTGATAATTACACACTTAAACTATGATATGATGGTGATTAATAATTGCTCACTGATGTTTGGCGATATCATGAACTCACTATAGGTATAAACTATTGAAATGATTGCAACATGATATTGTATGAAATGCAGCCGAATAATAAATCGCCAGTTTCCTAGTTTGCTCAATCATTGTTGCCTAATTTGCATTTATGTTGCTTTTGACTTTAAAGAAAAGGATTACTCGGAAAGGTAGCTCTTTGAAAAATTAGAAAGCCGCATGCATTAGAAAATTGCATGATTGTCAATATAACAAACATAAAGTATATTTATCATGATCCTTCGCCTTCACCAAGTGGTACCAATAAAGTTGTAGGGCTACTCCTACTATACCAGTATCTTATGATGCAGCTGTTGGAAATTCAATATGTGGAGTGGGATTATTTTTTTGAGAATAAAGTTCTTGAGCATTGGACATTCACCTAAAAACCTCAAATTCAACTACTGGATTTTAGTGATGCAATCAATCTTTTCAGCTTAAGTGGCACAGTTTCTCATATATAATACGATTGGTCATAATCGAAAAAAGTAACTAATTACTGGGGATTTAATTATCGTAATTTACATGAGAAAGGTAACAACTACTTTAATAAGATAATGTAACGATGGAGAGCAAAAGTGACCAACACTTTAAAAGGAGATTGTTTTGGTTTAAATATTTATACGAGAGAGGATCAAAATTCACCCCTTCCAATATTTAGAGAAATGGAGATACTATTAAAAAAAGTGTTGGATTAGTTTTTTATTTTATTTTATTATTATTATTAGAGATATCTTCTAATAATTAGAGACTAATTCCTTTTACAGTAGGTTACAAAAATAGTTTTTGCCACTCTCAACAAAATTTTATTTTTATATCCACATTTAGATAATCAAACTCTTATATTAACATAT